TTGGCCAATGGCTAGACTCCCATTTGCCATTTGCATCATACTTTTTAATGTTATGTTGCGATGTTAATGATGCAATAAAGAGATGTTATTATATCAAATTGCTTCGTTTGAAAGGGTGCATCCAAATCTGCAATAAAATGTAATGCCGTCCTTTAAAAAAAATCACCGCATAGCTATACCCTGTAGACCACCTTATAGTTTCTCAGAAAATGCATAGAGGTGTCTCGTCATGCTACATAGTAAACAAATAAATGTTATCTTATCTTCAGATGCGTAGCTACCGCCGTATCAGCCGTATGAATGATAAGAGGCCCCAGCTTACAGGGGCTTCCACGTACGAAAAAAATGCGCAAAGTGTTTCTCACAATTTCACGAACGTCTTTAGGCCGAGCGCTAAATTAAAAATTCTCAAGCGCGGAACCCTAAAATGGATGATAGTAGAATCCTTCCTATTATTAATCCCCTAGATCACAACTGCAACAACTGAAAGAAGCTTTTCAAAATTAAAAGTAATTCAAATATCTCAACATTCCTATGGGTCAATTTTGACTAAATTTCGATAAACAAAAATCGTTTTCCGCTATGGATGATTTGATGAAAAAAAATTCGAAAAAAAAATAGTAGCAAGTAGATGGACTCGGTACTTCCTGAGCGTCCACCTATGCCTCTAATAATTTTCCATGATTCAAGATAAGCCTTGTTCAAGAAACAAAATGCTTGAGCTCCATAGTGTTTTTGAACATGCCCTAATCTGAAGCAATCAGAAACCATGAAAGCAAATTTCCGATTTTTTGTTAAATTGTAACCTCTCTACTAAAATATTTGATTACCTTGAAAAATGTTAAATACAAATATAAAAACAAACGTTTTTGATTTTCACAGAAAACACTGCTGCCATTTAGACGATTTTCAAATATGAAATAGCATTACCTACTATGACCCCACATGGATTCACGTGGTGCATACATCGCAAAACGAATAAACAAAAAACAAAGAAATGTATAACAGAGATAACACGTCATTGTGATACAGTGTAAATAACATACAATTTTTTTTAAAAGTACATCAAAAACAAACATACATAGACAACATATAACACAGCGATATTGATGCTTACGGTTTCACTACAGCACAGAACTCTTCAATACTATACTAAGTGACATATAAATCCGAACACCCAGTTTAAATGGTTTTATTTTAATAAAATTTTGTATAAGTACTTAATGAAGTATAATAAGTAAATGATAACAATTTCAAAATGATTGCACTGCTTTAAAGCCCTTTGACCTTTAATAATGTGTGGATGCACCCTGATGTGCTACGCATTCTCCAACGCGCCTAGGCATGCTTCTGATCAGGTGGTCAATGTCCTCCTGTGGTATCTCATTCCAGGCAACCACCAACTCCTCTCGAAGTGCTTCTAGAGTCTGAGGAGGACGTTGCAAATTGAGCAATCTCCTACCCATCATATCCCACACGTGCTCAATTGGGGATAAGTCGGGAGATCTTGGTGGCCATGGTAACAATGTGACATCATTATTTTGAAAGAAGTCTATTGTGACTCTTGCAACATGTGGTCGGGCATTATCTTGTTGGAAAGTTGGATCTGCCAGGGTGTCAAGATAGGGTGAAAGATGGGGTTCTAGAACTTCGTGGATATAACGCTACGCGTTCATGTTACCTCTGATGAAGATTAAAGGTGACCTGGAACCATAAGCTATAGCACCCCAAACCATAACTCCAACAGTGTGATGAACATGTCTTTCAACAAAAAACTGTGGATTCCTCCTTTCACCACGTCGCCTTCTAACCCTCACACGGCCATCGTGCATGCCTAAACAAAATCGAGTCTCGTCACTAAGGACAATACTGTTCCATTCCTGATCCCAGAGTGACCGTTGTCTGCACCACTCAAGGCGATTACGTCGGTGTTCTCGAGTTAAAGGGAGGACCCAGTGTGGCCGGTATGAAAACAAGCCAAAACTTCTCATTCGTCGGTAAACACTTCGCATGCCAATAGGTCTTCCGTGTTCTGCAAACCATTCATTTGCAATGGACCTGGTAGTGGAGAAACGGTCCCTTAAGGCCAATAATCTTAGGCGGCGATCTTCACGGTCTGTTGTTCTACGGCGGCGTCCAGTGCCCCTTGCTCTTTGCGTACGGCCTTCTCGAAGCCATGCCTGACAACACCTAACCACAGTGTCTACACTTCTTTGCACTCTAACTGCAATTGCCCGAAAAGGAAGTCCAGCTTCCCGAAGTCCCACTATACGGCCCCTATCAAACTCACTAAGTTGACGAAATCGTACAGGTCTCCGTACTCTAGGCATCCTAACCGATCGTAAAGGATGTCAAGAACCAAAATCCGCCAACGTTGATTCTTTACTGCGGCTGAAATATTCATTTTTAGAGGGTTAGTGAATTAAAAAAAAGCAGTATAAAAACCGGAATGTCCAACTGATAAGGCTGAAAATTTTTTCACTTGTTATTTACAGTAAGATAAATACATTCACCAACTTTTATTAAAATAAAACCATTTAAACTGGGTGTTCGGATTTATATGTCACTTAGTATATATGGTTCCATTTCGCATATATATTTATGAATGCTTTTTTTGAATATAGTGAATGCTGAAATGGATTGAATATGTTGAGGTAAGACATTGTAAAGTTTCAGGGCAGAGTAATGTAGACATTTTTCGGTAGAATTTAGCTTATGTGATGGGTATATGTATTTCTAATTTTTGTGAGTATTGTAACTATGGTTGAAATAGTTTTTTCAAACTCTTCTTTATGGTTAAAGATAAATAATAGAGTGTTATAGATATAAATCCCGGTAACGTTAATAAGCGGTTGACTTTAAATATACTTCTACATGACTCTCTACGTTATATTTTGAACATTGTTTTTATTATCCTTATTTGCATAATAAAAATTATATTGGCTGCGGGACTATTACCCCAAGTTGTTATTTGATAAGACACAATAGCATGCTTGATTGAGTTTTGAAGCCATACTCTCAGTGTGCCTATCAAACTTAAGAGAGCTATCGTATGTGACACCCAGGAGGTTTGTATCGCTTTTGATACATAGAGATTCATTAATTCAGGGTAGTTCTTTGGTGGCATGGCTTGACTGAAATAGGACACAACACGTTTTTTGTATGTTGAATGCTAACTTATACACCAGCAGCCAGTTTTGAATATGGTTTATTTGGGTCTCTATCAAGATTCGGATATCAGACGTTCTTTTATATGGTATCAGAATAGTTATATTATCTGCATAGATGAAACTTAAATTTTGCGTGTTATCCGTGGTGGTGGATATATTATTAATATAAATAATAAACAATGTTGGGGCCGGTGTACTGCCTTGAGGAACACCAGTACTATATGTCCGAGGACTAGATGTTATTCGTTTCCCAATTTAGTTCAAAATTACTTTCTGTCTTCTATTACAGAGGAAAGATTTAAGCCAGTAGTACGCATTCCCGCGTATACCATATTTATATAATTTGTTTAGCAATATTTCGTGATCAATGCAATCAAATGCTTTTGACAGTTCCACAAATAAACCACATGCGGCTGCTTGATTCTCTCGATATTCATGGATTGCTGTTGTGAAATCGAACAGTGCTGGGTTCACACCTCTTCCTTTCATGAAGCCATGTTGGTTATTTGTGAAGTATTTATTTGATTGAAAAAATGTATAAGACGGTTGTTATAAACAATTTCAAAAATTTTAGAAAAATTTATCAGCAAGCTAATAGCACGGTAGTGGTCCATATCATCAGGATCGCCTTTTTTATAGATTGGTAATACAAGTGCCTTTTTTAATGCTTCTGGGAATGTCTCTTCACTAAGAGATGTATTTAGGATGTTAAGAAGAGGGTCAGATATTATAGTTATCATTTTTTTAATGATGGAGATTGGAACGTTGTCATCACCACAACTTTTTGTGTTTTTTAGGTTGCATACAATTCTGAGCAATTCATCATGATCTATTGGAGTTAAAAATATTGTTTTATTTTTTAGTTCTAGGTTGCAGTCATGATTCAAATTTGGTAGTCTTGAGAGGAGTTTTGGAGCAGCGTTGAAAAAGCTTTTATTGAAATGGTTGGCTGAAGCATTTACATCATTATGTACCGGTAAGACAAACTGATCTGACGACGTTTTGGGTGTGTTAGTTAATTCTCGCACTGAATTCCAAATTCCTTTACTTCTATTGCCGTGATTATTTACTTTGTTTAAATAGTATTGCGATTTTGAATCTTTTAAGAGTTTCTCATATGTCTGATTATAAGTTTTAAAAACATCTTTATATTTTATGTCGTTTTGGGAAATCATTTGAAGAGCATTCACCCTGTTCCTGAGTCGATCCAATTCCGGGGTAATCCAAGGAGGTTTCTTACCTTCCGCAGCTCGCTTTTTTATCTTCAGAGGAAAATAGTAATTGAAACTGCTTTGTATTATATGAGAAAATATGTCCCACTTTTTGTTTACGTTGACACTACTATAAAGTTTGTTCCATGATGCTGATTTTAGATCTTGTAGAAAACTATTTATATGTGAGTTAGGAATTTGGATTCATGATCGATATTGGAATATATTTATCTGATTTTCTAAAACTCTCCCATACGCAGTGCCCCGCCCAAAAAAACACTGCTACCCCTCGCTTTTCAAAAAGTGTTGAAGGTAAGTACACTTTTACAATAAATTATCTTTTGCCGATGTTTCACCTCCTCTAACTGTGAAAACTTTCTGCGGTCGCTCGCGGTCGATACGTGACAATTCATATCATTCAATGCAAGCGTTTGTTTAGCATCTAAAACCCTATACAGTAGAACCTCGATTATCCGAACTAATTGGGACCAAAGGTGGTTCGGATAATCGAAAAGTTCGGATAAAAGAGGTTAGATTAAAAATATGTACATATATGTACTACATATGTGTACATAGGGAATAAAACAATTAACTACTCAATATGTACATATATTTATTATGTATGTTGTACATATATATATATATATATATATACATATATATATATATATATATATATATATATATATATATATATATATATAAATGTACGTACGAACACATTATGAACCATTACAAACTCTTGCTTAGGTACGTTTGAAAAAATCACCAATCTTCGTCTGCTTCATCTTGTTTATTTTTTTTTGTCAAAGCCAACTCCTTTATCTTTTGAAGTTGAAGTAGCTGGACGATTTCTACTTCCTCTTGTCTTTCAAGCCACTGAAAGACAACATCAACGGCTTTTAGTGCTTCGTCGTGAGAGGGTCCCGTTGGACGTTCCAAAGCACAGTCATCGACGCTTTCTTCCTCGTCATCCACAATTGGGTCTGACAGAACACTCTCAATAATTTCTTCATCAGTCACAATGGGGAATCCTTGGTCATCGGCGTCAGAATTTAACCACTTCAGCACGTCTTCTTCGTCACAGTCTTCTCTTACTTTGAGGGATTCAAGTGTGTCAAGCATTTCAGTCACAAGTTCAGTTTCTTCATGTCTTTCGTTAAGGGGCAGTAGATCAACAGTAGGCTCATTGAGATCATCGTAGTATTTTTTCAACAACTTATTCCATGCCTTTTTCAGTGTGCTTGGAGAAACTAAATTCCAGGCCTCAACAACCATGTAGCAACAATCCTTCAGATTAATTGACTTGAAGAACGCGATAACACTGTCAGCCTTTTCTTTTTCATCGTCATTGTCTTTGAGCAAAAGTCGGCGTAAAAGTTGCTTCCGGTAATTCCTTTTCATAGTCTCAATGACACTTTGATCCATTGGCTGAAGGATTGATGTCACATTAGGAGGTAGATAGATGACTTTGAAACCGTCTCTTGTCAAACTCTCAGCATCTGGATGCGAAGGCGCATTGTCCAAAACCAATAAAACAGGCTTTGATTGCTTACCCACTTGCTCAAGAAACTTTTTAACTTCGGGTATGAAGGTGTTGTCATACCAGTCTACAAATATTTTCCGGTCCATCCATGCCCTGGATTGGTTTTTGTAAACGAGAGGTATCTTCGCGTTTTTGAAGCCTCTTGGATTTTTGGATTTTCCTATAAAAAGCATGGGAATTCTATGGCTACCAGTAGCATTTGCACAAACCATTACGGTGACCCGATCTTTGCTTGATTTATATCCAGGGGCTGACACTTCCCTCTTGGATGCCGGAGTTTTAGAAGGTAAGCTTTTCCAACATAAACCACTTTCATCTGCATTATAAACAAGCTCCAAATCATAACCATCCTCTCTTAAAATTTCTGAAAATCTTGTCACAAATCCAGAGGCAGATGAAGAGTCAGCACTGAGTTTTTCACCTTGAATATCAAGCTGGCGAATGCCGTGTCGAGATTTAAATTTATCTAGCCATCCTTGACTTGCAGAGAATTTAGGATCACCCCCTAATTTTTTATTGAAGTCTAAAGCTTTCTCACACACCAAGGGGCCGTTGATAGGTTGCCCAGATGAACGTTTTTGGGAAAACCATGTGAAAAGAGCCTCATCCAAACATTCGTTGGCGGATCTTTTCATGGTCTTGCGCTTCGAACATCCTGCATCACAGTCAAGTTTGCTCGCGGACGTCAAAATCGCGCTGGACTGTTTTTTAATGTCCGATATCGTTGACTTTCCCACACCATAAACCACCGACAGAGATTGGGCCGATTCGCCTTTTTTCATACGCTCCAAAATATCCACTTTGTCCTTAATTGACAGCACCACGCGTTTACGCTTTGAAAGAGACATACTTAAGAACAAACGAAAAATGTCACCGCACCCGGCTTATATTACATACACGCCACGAGTAGACTTAACAAGGGAGATTGTTCGTGTTCCGTCCCGTCGAAGTTGCCTGCCGACTACACTGAAAGACTGATCGAAGTTAAATCGTAAGACGACTGTCGATGTGTGTCGGTACGATGGATCTAACCTCTACACTCCTTCGCCGCCGCCAACGCGTCTACGCTGCTTAGGAGGGGAAAGCACGTGTAACATTTCTATAATGCAACGTCGGCGGCGTCCGTTCAAAGCGAGAAACAACTGTGTAAACGAGTTCGGATAATAGAGGGTCCGGATAATAGAGGTTCGGATAACCGAGGTTCTACTGTACTTCAAATTTTACCCTCTATTTGGGATTCGCCACAGTTCGACGATGCTTCCCTACAAATTTTGATACGGAGCCCCCGGTGAGCAGCCTACGCCACTGCTTATAGCAAAATTCGGAGCAGGGCTAGTTAGGCTTACAGGCCCAGTCAACTAGCTTGAAGCAGCGTTGCTAGCTGTTTAAAGTGGTGGAAAAAATAATTTTTTTTTTTTTTTATATCGAAACAGCCGCGCAGGCAGAAGCCTAAATGCCGGAACACCGCGGCTGCTATGATGATCCCAAAGAAATTTTGTTAATACGATTTTTGAACTGCCTAAGGTTAGTAGAACTGGGAAAAGCTTCCTCCCGTAGATTGTTCCACAATCTAGACACCCTCGGGACAAAGGAGCGGTCGTATCGGCCAGTTCTGGATGTACGAAGTTTGACACGGTTAGGATGAGATGCCGAAGTCAGGCGGGTCTGTCTGGCAGGCGCATCGCGCGGCGGCATCATGGAAGAGAGCTCTGAGGAGCAAAGCCCGTTGGTGTAGCGATAGAAAAGAGCTAGATCGCCGACGGCCCGCCGGTGCGAAAGAGTCCCGAGACTGTCTGTTAGAGAAGAGTCATCGATCAGTCGGACCGCCCTCCTCTGGACAGCATCGAGCATGGACAATGTAGTCGGGGCGGCAGCACCCCAAATGTGTGAGCAATACTCGAGGCTAGGCCTTATCTGGGCCTTGTATAGAGTGAGAAGGTCATGCGGAGAAAAGTACTTCTTAGCCCTAAACAAATAGCCTAGCTTTTTCCCAGCAGCTGCAGCTATTGAAGAGATGTGTTCGTGCCAGATCAGGTCCTCGGTGATCTGGACTCCGACCAGCCGAAATGAATGGCTCTTTGGTAGAACTCGACCGTCCATCGAATCTGTATGAGCGCTAGGACGCTTTTTGTTCGTCAAGGTACAGTACTGTGTTTTGGAAGCATTGAACTGTACAAGATTGTTGCGTCCCCAAGCAGTGATAGCCTCCAGGTCTCTTGTCAGAGAAGAAGTCGTCGCTAGTCTTCTTTTTTCCAGCTCAGCGGCAGAGATCGGCTTGTCACTCTGAATTCCTGCATGTAGAGTGCTGTCATCAGCGAAGCTGTGGATTGGGTTGATCGTGCAGGAAAGGAGGTCGTTGATATGTAAGAGAAACAGTGTTGGAGCCAAGACCGATCCCTGGGAAACACCCGCGTTGACGTTGTGGGATGAAGAGGAGAATCCGTCAATTACGATGGATATCTTGCGGCCAGAGATAAAGTTAGCCACCCATCTGCAAAGCTTTTCTGGGAGGCCGTAGGATGGAAGTTTGCTTAAGAGGGCAGCGTGCCACAGCTGATCGAACGCTTTCGTGATGTCAAGAGCAACGACATGAGCCTCACCATGAGACTGGATGAGTTTACTCCACAGTTGCGTGACGTAAGCTAGGAGGTCCCCTGTGGATCGTTGGTGCCGGAAACCGTACTGCCTGTCGCTAATCAAGCTGTGACGTTCGAGGTAGTCCAGAAGCTCGCGATTTATGCACCTCTCCATCACTTTACTTATAACAGAAAGCAGAGCTATAGGCCTGTAGTTGTGAGGGTCGGTTTTAGATCCTTTTTTTGGGATGGGCTGTACATGAGCAAATTTCCAGTTTTCTGGGAAGGTGCCGGATTCATAAGATATCTGGAAGAGACGCGAAAGAACTGGAGCAAGCTCCGCTGCACATCTCTTCAGTACAATGGCAGGAATCAAGTCCGGACCAGAAGCTTTGTTGATGTCGAGCGACAAGAGCACTCGTCTTACGGTCTTATGCCTGAATGTTACTTCCCGCATAGTGTGGGGAACCCTTTGAATTGACGGCACTTGGGCGTTGGTGGGGACGTCCATGGTGGAGTTGGCAGCAAAGATCTTGGCTAGCACTTCCGCCTTGGCCTTTGAGTCGAATACAATAGTTCCATCCTGACACGTAAGTGGTGGAAGGCTACTGTGTGAGAAGTTCTTTTCAATCTGCTTGGCCAGCGTCCAGAAAGACCGACTGCCATTGCGCTGCGACATTACCCTGTGCCTAACTTTTATATCATGCTGGTTTTTGGCATTGCGAACCGCTTCGTTATATTTGTTTCTGGACTCGACGTCGGCTTGTCTGTTCTCTACAGTGGGGTTTTGTAAGTAGGTTCTGTGGGCCTTAATCTTCTGCTGGCGAGCAGTGTCACACGATTTGTTGAACCAGCCGTTGGACCCTGGTTTAGGAACTTTCACTGTGTGAGGGATGTATTCCTCCATTCCGACGTGGATAATTTCGGTTATTGAAGAACAGACAGTCGACGCATCTGCGTCAGTGAAACAGACATCTCTCCAAGGAAAGCTAGAGAAGAAGTCTCTGAGCCCCTCCCAGTCGGCATGTCCGTAATGCCAAGTTTTGCGACCTGTGCGAGTTTCTGCTGCCACAGCGGCTTCTGACCGAAACCTAACCTCCACAACACCGTGATCTGAATTACCCAGGGGGGACAGGACAGCAGTGCTGTAAGGGGCAGGATGCGTGGTCAGAAAGAGATCTAGCAGGCTACTGGCGTGTGACGAGACGCGGGGGAAAAAAGTAGGGCTCGTCACCAGCTGGGTCAGCCCTTGAGTAAGAGCGAACGCTTCGACTGCACGACCTGCTGCATCGGTCTTATTTGAGCCCAAAAAAAGCTCATTATGGGCATTGAAATCACCGAGAAGAACTACCTCTGAAGCGGGGTGATTGATGTTCAGGAAGTCGATCTGGACGGCGAGGTATTCGAGTAGGTCATCCCAGTTATGGTTCGAGGGAGAGCGATAAAGGCAGCAAATAAGTTTGGGTGATGTTTTGGAGTTGAGGCGAAGCCACAGAATGTCCTTCCGGTCTGATTCCAAAGAAAGATCCCTGGAGCAGGAGACTGCTGCGGACAAAAGCCACAACTCCCCCGTTCTTTCTCAGATTGGAGTGCACCTCGTAGTTTGGGAAGTTGAGATGGTTAATCGGTGCAGTCTCTGAGATTTTTGTCTCCGCCAAGAAAAGCACGGCGGGACGATTGGATTGCAGGTAGTGATGAACAGCATCAATGTTGCTGTTGATCCCGCAGATGTTAGAAAAACAAATTTTATCTTCGATGTTGTTCCCTCGAGCCCAC